AACAGAATTTTCCTCTTGATTTATAAGCACAAACAAGGTAAAATGATGAGCCTGTCAGGTGTAAAATTTTGAGGGATCTACTGACCAGAAACAGTCAGTTGTATTCCATAGTGCATAATGCTTCCTCCAAACACGTTGCTCCCAAAGAGAAAATGTATTCCAGTAAATGTGTTTTCCTAATTTGCTAAAAAGCAAATTAAAAGTAATTCTTTAAAGAAAATGACCTGGACAAGCTCGAGAAGTGGGCCCGTGTGAACCTCATGAGGTTCAACAAGGCCAAGTGCAAGGTCCTGCACCTGAGTCGGGGCAACCCCCAGTATCAACACAAGCTGGGGGGTGAAGGGATTGAGAGCAGCCCTGCCGAGGACGACTTGGGAGTACTGGTGGATGAAAAGCTGGACATGAGCCAACAATGTGCGCTCGCAGCCCAGAAGGCCAACCGTATCCTGGGCTGCATCAAAGCGTGGCCAGCAGGTTGAGGGAGGGGATTCTGCCCCTCTGCTCTGCTCTGGTGAGACCCCACCTGGAGTGCTGTGTCCAGCTCTGGGGTCCTCAGCACAGGAAAGACATAGACCTGTTGGAGTGGGTCCAGAGGAGGGCCAGGAAAATGATCAGGGGGATGGAACACCTTTCCTATGAAGAAAGGCTGAGAGAGTTGGGGTTGTTCAGCCTGGAGAAGAGAAGGCTCCAGGGAGACCTTATTGCAGCCTTTCAGTCCTTAAAGGGGGCTTATAAGAAAGATGGGGACAAACTTTTTAGCAGGGCCTGTTGCGACAGGGCAAGGGGGAATTGGTTTTATAGTAAAAAAGGGTAGATTTAGACTAGATATAAGGAAGAAATTTTTTACAATGAGGGTGGTGAAACAGGCTGGGACAGCTTGCCCAGAGAGGTGGTAGATGACCCATCCCTGGAAACATTCAAGGTCAGGTTGGAAGGGGCTCTGAGCAACCTGATCTAGTGGAAGATGTCTTTACTTACTGCAGGGGGGGTTGGACTAGATGACCTTTAAAGGTCCCTCCCAACCCAAACTATTCCATGATTCTATGAAAAGAAAAGGCACCCAACCGCAGTATGCAACATTTTGGATGGGATAGAAAAAAGCAGCAATGAATCAAAATAACTTGGAGTAAATGCTGGTTTTATAATTGCTTAAGTATATGCAGATGCTATGTATTCTCCATTAGAAAAATGAACCGCATTTAGCATGAGCTTCCAATGTAATTGCAAATGGGCATGATTACTAAACCAGTGAGAATCAACCTTTCTTAAAAAAGACCTCAAAGTAAAAAGAGGCAGGTAGGTAGTTTAGCTAAATACCTGCATATTTACCTAAAAGTTGTTTTACCGAACGGCATGAGCTCCAATGAATCAAATTGCCAATTGCTAGTGATATATTAGAAGAGAATAGAGAAACATTTGTGATTGCAAAATAAAGATCTCAAAAGTGTTTATTTCAGTAAAATCTTCTTAAGTGTGAGGCAGCTTTCCTGTGGGGCAGGCTTAGATGGACAGGGGATGGGAGAGGGCACAACTCTTTTTCTTTGTGAAAATAAGATTGCAACAAGTCTTTTTCTAGAAGTCTCAACAGGCTACTAGTTTCTCAAAATGTTTCTAGTAGTGGGAGTGGGGGGTGTGGGTGTGCGTGCGAAATTTGTGTGCAGGCGTGTTACTGAAAAGCATTTCCTAGTGTTCCTGCTAACTCTAGCACTGTTCACCTGAAAGTCTTTCCAAGATTTTAATGCATATAGATCCTTTGTTTCAAACTAAAGCCATCACAATTTGTTTGTTTTCAGGAGTCTTTTTCTGGTAGGACTCTATTTTCCTAGTATCCTCAATTTCAGCATTTTTTGGTCCGCTTGCCTCCTGTCTTCCCGGTATTCTCTTTTGGGGCAGTTTGAGACTGTAATACCTGGCTTACTCGTGCATGTCTGTAATGCTTTGCAGGGATTTAACTATCAAATGCTCTGAATTACTGCTGAAAACTGACCGTTTAATTTGTAGCCTTGGTTCTCAGTGTCCCTTATGAACTTCTTTTACTATCCAAAAATTTCTTTGCTCTTAAATTCGCACTTTGAATGAGCCTAATTCTCCTTCCCACCCCCTCCGACTGGCTTTTGAATTATTCTCCCCCGCCTCCGCAGGACTAAATCCGGCAAGACTTCAAAACATATTATGAAATTCTCTCTCTTTCTTTACCTACACTTGATAATAAAACCTATAATTACGTTTGATATGTGAAGAAAGAACCAGAAAGCCCAAGCTCTTGTTCAGGAAACTTTTTTTTTTTTGCTTCTGTAGCTTTGCTGGCAGGACTGTAAACCAGTGGTGAGACGACTTTGCTGCTGAATGTCTGTAGAGGGTAGGCAAGTGTGGGTTTTTTTTATCAGTCCACGGTGTTGAGCAATGGTGCTCAGCATCAGTCTTGCGTAGCGGTGAGATGGGGATTTAGCAGCAAGGCTGGCTGTTAGCACGCAGGCGTATTGGGAAAAATCCCTCTTGACTTTTCTTTCCCTGCAGAATCCGACAAGGATGAAGCAGCAGCCGAAGACGGGAGGCTGGGATTCACTGTTGTTCCCAAGCAGGTCACCTCCGCCCTGAGTTCGTTGTTGGCCAACTACGGCAGCGCGTCTGACAGCGAGCCCGAAGGTGCGTAGGAGTGTGTCCTCTGCCCTTCTCCTCTCCCCTTCTCCCCTACGTCACTGTGCTGGTGTGGACTGCAAGCAATGATAAGATCTGATCTTCTTTGGGAAGGGTAGGGGGCTTCACCTCTGCTGTGTTTGGTCCTTTGCCATCTCCTATCCAATTGTCCAGGTCCCGTTTATTTATAAATGCAGCATTTATGAGTGCAGTAGCCCAGTGGTAGCTCTTTACAGCTGCATCCCCACCTGCTGAAAGCTGCAGATTATCAGTGCCAGACAGAACCTACATAGTACTTACAATTTCTTGAGAAAACACTTTTAAGAGAAATCAGAGGTTTTGCAGAAGAAAATACAACGTGTAAGCTGTGGCTTATATTTAGCAAAGATGTTAATGTAATGCTAGTTCAGTGGCTGTACCTCCAAAACACTTGGCTATGGAAATGCCTTTGAATTTCTGGCCTGTCTACCAGTGCTGTAATTCAGAGCTGTCTTGTACCTGTTGATTTTTAGGCTTATACAAGTAAAAAGAGAAGCTTGTAAAAGGTTATGCACAGGGATGTTTTTGTGGTCTGTGTACAGATCCTTTCCAGTTTGCTTTCAGTGACAGTGCATGCTAGTACTGGTGTAAGCCATGCATAAAAACAGGCTGGGAGGAGTAGAAGGATATGCCATTATCCTGCTCCTCTTGTTTCCCCATTCCTCCCTTCTCCCAGTTTTGAGCACTGACTGGGGTTACTGGGTGAGCCGTTACTTGTTCCCAGTATGGTGATAGCTCCCAGTCTCAAGAGAAGCACCTGGACAGAACACAGCATTTGTGCAGACAGCCGGTGCACGGGGATGGGCTTGTCCACATCTAATGGCCTGTGCCGCATCTAATGCTTTTCACCCTGCCGCCCTACAGCATACTTTCAAAAGCCTCAAACAGAGTTTCCTGAAAGATCAAGTGGGGTTTTTCCCCCTTCTTTGCTTGCCTTTTCTCAGCAGCATGTCCTGGGTTGAAGGGGGGGGCATAAAATATCTTTGGTTAGTGTGTATGTCATTGAGTTTCCCAAGCCTTTTTTCCCCTAGTTGGTCTTCAGTCTCACTTCAAATCATGTTTGAATAGTGCCAGAAAAAAGCTGTTGTGCTCCCCCTGTGAACTAATTTCCATGTCCTTAGGGGCTTTTTCCATAGAAGGCTTCTGGGTGTTGCAGACTTGAACTCTGTAGTACTTGGATTTTGGGCTTCTCTTGAGTGTATGCATCAGTGTATGGTAGAGAACGGCTGCTGCTCCTTGTTTTTGCAGATAGTTGCTATGCCTTACTCGCCCTAGATGGCCTACCCAAAGTTACAGAGAGCATCTAGTAGGCAGGGAATTGAACTTGGGCATCCTCTGTCCTAACTGTATCATGATTTTCTCAGCAGCCAAATTTGCAGCAAGCTACATTGTGAAGCAGAAGCAATGTTCTTTCTAAGTGAATAACAAAGCAGAGGTTTGAAAATCTCGTTCAACTCTTACTGCTTCTATTTTTCTTTTTGTATTGCAGAATTTAAATACCTTGTTTTGCTTTCTGTGAATGTTTAGAGATTGTTCTTTGTATTTTAAAAGAAACCCCAAACCCAGCCCAAACAAAACCCTCCCTTCCTCTGAGTAAACCTTGAACATCTTCACATCAGGTTGTATGAGCAAGAATAGGACTAATGAACTGCCAGTGCATGGGGATATAAGCATGTTAAAGAGGCTTTTAAGTTTGAGATGAAAGTGTGTTCTTTTTCTTTAAGAAATCCCTGTCAAGACTGCAACAAAAGCTGAGAAAAACCAGGCTGCACTCAGAAATACGCCTCAAACTACTTATGTTCCTTGGAGTCGAAACCCGAATCAAAAACGTCCACAGTATGCAGGCACGATGTTAAGGAGCTCGAATTCAAACGCACGTTCCCCCAGAGGGCCTGATAACTGGGGCAAGAAAACATTACCTCTCCTTCCGAAGCGCCGTCCAACTCTTCTGGAAATGGTAACAGTCTTAGTGCTAAAATAATGTCTCCTGTACAAGAGTAGCACTATTTGTGAGCGGTTCTCCTCTTCCCTGTGGGAAATTAGCCTGTTAGCAAAGGTCCTGTCTTAAAATAGCGAAGTGAGCATTTCACTCTGAGAAAGTGTAGATGCTTAAGTAGACAAACAGAAATACCCTGGTATGCATTCAGGTAATGACTGACTTTGGTGAGCAAGAGACGACGACTTAATCACGTGCCTAAAATGAACTGCACAAAGGACAAAACCTTTATTCCTCCCTCTCCCCTCCCTGTGGTAGTATCTGGTAGGTTTTGTTTGTGTATGATCCCATCAGCCTTATTCTAATCTTCCTCCCTTTACTCCCGGCTTTGCTGTTCAGCTGCCTTCCTCTGATCGAGGAGCACACAATTTTTTCTTTGACTGCGTCAAAGAGGTCTTGTTGATACAGGTGTTGGTGACTTAAACTGTAGAGTGGTGTTGAGCTGCAACCTGCATATGCATGGATTTCTTCTCTGTAGGCACGTGTAGGCCAATCTGAGGAAGTGACAGCACTGGGACCTTGAAGAGCAAGTTGGTATCTCAGAAGGGTAAAAAGAGGTTTGTAGGGGTGAGTCCAAGGTGTTATGATTCTGTTCTCAGTAACAGTGCAAAATGTCCTATTTGGAAGCTTGGTGGCTTTCTTTAGTATAAACAAAACTTTAAAGTTTTTATTGCATTTAGTACTCAAAAGCAGTATCAGATAGGTAGGCTACCCTTATGATTCTGTAAATAGCCAGCATAAAGCTCCCTGGTTAAAGGAAAATTTGCTGTGTGCAGAGCACAAGAGAAAGCAGGGTGCCACTGACATAAGGGCTCTGAAACAGCACAGGATGCTTGGCAAGAGATACCTGATAAGCCACATCCCAAGCTGCAGATGTGGGAGAAATCCCTTCATAGTCCTTTTAGCACATACTACAGTTGCTGCCAAGAATTAAAACTCCTAGCGACTGAAAAGGAAGTGTTTGCCCTTTGTGTAGCTCCCTAAACATGTAGTCGTCTTTATCTCTTGCTCTTCAAAGTTGTTGGTGATCAAAGCAGTGAGGACTCTGGAAAAAAGTCATATGAAGTCCCACATGCTGAGAGAAGCTGGCAGAACATTGGAAGCCTGAATTGGAGCTTGCCCGTATAGTCCATTTTTAAAATTTCATTTTGGTGGGTTTTTTGCCTTTTAATGTTGCTCAAAACTGTTGTTAAAGGATGTTTACTGTGGCTGTGAATCACAGAGGAGTGCCTGAGATTTGCAGGTAGGCTTCCGCTGTCAGAAATGGTCAGTGTATAAAAACCTTGAGAAAGCAAAGTTGAAATTTTAGTGAGTCACTGCTGAGAATTTATCCAAAATGTAAGGAAGTGGAATTGCTAAGAAAAGGATTTTATATCAGTGAAATGATGCTTTAAAAAAAAAAAGGGGGGAGGTAGGAAATAGCTGCAGATGTCTATTGGCACTCATTCGGTAGTGAGCTTGGGCACTACTAAAACGTGTTTATTGTAGCCGTGCAAATAGTCATGTGCGTTTAGCCATTCTGTATGCTGACGAAATAAAAAGCCTGTGTAGCATCACTCCACTGATACCCATCCCTGCATTAAAAAATATAATATAAAGATACAGTCTTTTTATAGGGTGATGGTGCATCCCATCTGTGCCTTTATTTGGCCATTTGGGAATTCAGCAGTTTCTCTCAGTCCAACAAAGACAACATCACTATGCCATCCCTTCTCTGTCCTAATGTGCGTCTCTTAGTTCAGACGGGAGGTTTCTGAAGGCCCATTTTAGGTGTCAGCTGCTTGTAACACCTCTTAATAACTAGTCTAAATAGAAATATGCACATTTGAAAGTGGCTGGTTAAACCACTTCGAAGCTTATTACAACAACAACAAAAAAGCTTCTCTGCGACATTACAAGCCAAATTTAGCTAGAATGTGTAATACAGATCTCCTGCAAACGATCAGGTAGTTGCAGATTTAGCCACTTGCTTTAAACTTGTTGTTTGTTCAAAGTACTAGTTCGACTGACACTTGCAATGACAAAAGGTCCTTCTGGCTGATCTTTTTTTTTTTTTTTTAAATACCAAAATGAACTTTAGTGAGGTTAAAGGAGATGAGGGAGGTTTCTAGCACTTTGATTAACCTATTAGACTTAGGTTTGTGGATTATAGCCCAAACCAGTTATTGCTATTTAAATCCATAGTCTGGTACCTGATGAAACCTGCCCTTTCCTTATATTTGTAAGTATCTTTTACTCCTAGGGGTTTTCTAATTAAAAATGCATGGGATATTAAATTACAGATACAATATAACTTGGAGAGTGTAAAAGATGCTAATAGATTTGCTATCCTTTGTACTGGAATACTTGGCCTGGAATGCGTTCTTTGTTTCAGATGTTAATTACAGTCCATGGTATGAGAACATCATCATCTGGGTCTATAGTCAGACAGTTGGGGAGGAAATTCCTGGTATTTAGGTATATTCCGTGACGTTCTCTACCACCTAAGCAAACTGAGACTGACAGCTTAATCCAAAAGATACCATCAGATTTGTCACTTGTTCTACCTGCCTTAGTGCATTAATGGCACTAAATGAGCAGTGCTTAAATGTGCACTTTGGGCATGTGTGTATTTTTCATCTCTTTCAGTGGTACAGTCATGTGCCAGTACCATAGTGAATCACGGCCATTATGAGCCTCTGTCATTGTAAGAGTGGTGTTTGGCCACCAACCTGCGCTGCTCTAGCAGCTTGCTGCTGCCCAGAAGGGCAGCTCCCTCCCTGCCGCCTCCTCTCCGGATGCCTGGTCCCATCTCTTCTTCTCTGCTATGCTGGGCCTTTTGCTTACCCTGTTCAGTTTTTGACACCACCCACCCCCCAAAAAAACCCAACCAACCAAAAATACACCCAGAATGCCCTACTACTTGCTGCTAATTGTCAGGTTCGTTTTCTCCTGGCTGGTGAGTTGGACTGGTGCAGTAAGAGGTTTGATCAGCACGAGCTGGCGTGAGGGAGGAGGGGACAGCAAGCCCTTAGATCTCCCAGCCCAGCAAGCTGGGCGGTAGCGCTGTCAAACATGCCCTGCCAAAGCCCCAGTCAGTTGGTGGGAAAGCACCCAATGTGGGAACATGTGGCTTTCCTGTGCTGTCTCTGGTAAGGTGGTCTCCTGCTCTGCGTGTCCAGGACTCCTGTGAGAGAGCCGACTATTTAAATTCAGAGATGCTCAAAATTACTGAGTAGAGCTGTACATCTTGCTAGGCTTGTATCAGCTACAGAGCAATAGTCGGAAATGTGCATCATCTTCTCTTCTTTCTTTCCAGTTACTGGCCCAGGACATCCGACACGAAAGGAATGTGATTTTGCAGTGTGTTCGATACCTCATCCAAAATAACGTGTTTGGACTTCATTTTAAAACAGAACCACAAGCTCAAACAGAGACTGAACAGTCCTCTACAATTACAGCAGAGTCTTTGACGGACAAACTCGATGAATCTAATTGTTCTTGTAGCTCTGACCTTCAGTTAGCAGGAGGAGAAGAAGTTGCATTATTAATAGCCCAGGGTGAGAAAGCACCTGTGGACCAGACTTCACAGATGGCTCGCTTGGCAGATGAGGACACATGGGAAACCCCATCAATTCAGTGTGAAGAAGCACTGTAGAAGATACCTGTTCTGGACAATAAAACAAAGGCTCACCTTTTCTACCTGACTGAAGCTTTTTGAAAGACATCAGTATAACAAAATAATCATTAAAGTACATACTGAAAGCTGTTAAAACCACTTTTCTGATCTGTTCTGCCCGAGATGGCCATTTCCTTGTGAAAACAGCATCCGCGTTGAGTCATTGCATTTCCCCATGGCAGAATGGCAGCAGTGGCACAGAGTATGACCTTCCCTAGAGTAGGTGTGGATCCCCCCTTTCAAGCTTCAGAGCTCTGAATGTTTTACCTCGTTATGCAATGTGTGTCAGTCCATCACCAGAGCCAAGTAGTGTTGTGGTAGGATGGATCTTCCTCATGTGAAATCATGGTCTGGCGTGTCTGGGAGTATCTGAGTGTTCAGAAGTATTTCAGTGTATGAAATGCATATTTCAGTGCATATTTTTTCCCCAGCTTTATTTGGTATAATATATCCAATATAAATGTAATATATCCAGTATAAAATGAAGAAATGAAATGGAAGATATAACTGACCTTGGCTCTAAAAGTACAGCTTGCACCAGGAGTCTCCTCCTCTCTGAACTAATTTGTTAATTGAGCAGAGAAATGGAAATAAGGGTGCAGACTGATGCAAGAAGCCTTTTTTAAAAAATAAATAAATAAAGATACAAGAACTGCTTGCATCAGTGCTAGGTTGCTGGTTGACCTCAGGTACCCAATATTAAGCCTTAGACCTTAACTGCTGTTACAGTCATTGCCTGACAAATCTAACTCTTGAAGCAAACTCTTAGTATTAAGAATATTATCAAAGTTTAGAAAGCTTACCAAGAGTTACTAGTTTGACCCTTTTTAATATGCATTGGGAATTTATTAGTTGGCCTTCTGGAAGAATGTCTTCCTTGGTACATTGTTACGATGCTCTTACAGCATGCAGTGATTTTTTTTCAGATTTGTGTGTACATCCATAGTGGTGTGAGCACTAAAAAAGCATCAGCCAAGGTTTAGAAACAAGTTGTCTTTGATTACATCGTGCATTTGTTTGTCAGAATCCTTCTTGGCAAGGACAGGTGTTAGTTTGTCACATTGATACTGAAAACATGCCATGAAAATAATCTATTATCAAAACTTCCACTTCAGAATATTTCTCTGCTCTTTGTTTTTTTGTCATGGCTAAATGTTGGAGTTAAATCTCAGGGACTGATTTTATTTTTTTGTTCTTTGGTAGAAGTCTAGCCTTCCATTCCACTGTCTAAAATACAGAGACTCACATGGGGTTTTTTTGTTGTCTAATAACTGTATTTTCTTTCCTCTAGTTCCTTAACTTGTGCCATACATCTCACTTGTGGTGCATAGAAAACAAGAAATAGTTGAAAATTCTGTCCCACTGCTCTGCTATTTATAGCTACGACTGCATATTGTGTTTGTAATGCACCGTCTAAATTTATGGAATTATATAAATATCAACACCCTTGTAAAAGTTGTGTGTCTCAAGAATATATGTGCTGAATAGAAGCAGTGATCATAAACATTTATATTTCCAAGGCAGATGATTCATTCTTCCCGTGATGGTCCCACGAGCCATCTCAATCTCACTGACTTGCTTATGGCTCTTACAGTTTTACTGCGATGAAAATACCAGCAAAGGACTCTAAGCCATGGAGATCTGGCACTCGGGCAGAACCTGATTTTGGAGTGGAGTGGTACCAGTGCTGCGGAAAGCATGGGTAACAGCTGCAGGAAAAGAAATGAATGTCTTAGGATTGCTACTAAATTGCACTTTAACCAACCCTTAACATGCTTCTGCCCCTATTGAGTTGATGGCAGAGCTTTCTTTGACTGTACACTCTGACCTTGTGTTTAAAAAAAAAAAACAAACAAAACCCTTTAAATTCTTTATACTGTTGTCATTATGGACTTAAGAATATTAAACTTTCACACAAAACCAAAAGCTTTGTCAGAAGAAAATCTTTATAAAGTCTATTTCATGTAGATAGGAAGAGGTGGGTTTCTTTTAGGGGCATCTGTACAAGGGTCCCAAGGCCAGCATGGCATAAACAGGAGTTTTAACCTAGGACTTGTTGCATACATGCAGCATTGCTATTGTTGTTCTCGTAGCGAACCCTTTCTTCCAACTCATACAGCAGACGTGTGGAGACATACACTGCAGTGATGTTAAACCCCGAATTGCAGTCTTGGTCAGTGAGTGGAAGGTCTCTGTCCCTTCCTCTCCCCCACTTTTTTTTTCCTGTTCTTCTAGGCCCTGTTCAGACTTCACGTATCCTTTCCTGCTATTCAAGAATGTTCTTTTTTAGTACTTTGGCTGCAGCCTTTGGATAGGAAAGCTGCTATGATGACCTTTTCTGATAGTGTCAAATGCCAATAGGCTTCCTGTTCTGGGTTAAGAGGGGTGGGGTTTGTTTACTCCTTTCTAATAAGATGCCTCTCTGTGTCTGTGTAGGAAGAACCTGTTGCTTCTGTCATGCTGCAGGAACCAGTGTCTTGATTAAGCTTTGTGTAGCGTTCAACTTTCCCATTGTTTTGGTGTGGGGTGGTGGGTTTGTGTTGATTTCTTTTTTCTTTTTTTTTTTTTTTTGCAGTGGTGTTAGGGGAAAAAAAAATCCTACTTCTCAGGCTTTGTGACTCACTTTAGATAAAAATATTCCGGTGGCAACCTTCACACTTCTGAAATTTTATTTTTATCTTTCTTCTTTTATAACTTAGCTACTGAAAATGTAATTGTGGGTGTCTAGTTTAAATTCAGTACCCTTGGGCTTTGGTGGTTTTTTGTTTGCTTTAAATCCATCTCACCTACTGAGCTAGAACAGTTGAGACAGAAGAAGGAAACCAGACTCGACTCCGTTGTGGTGGTGCAGCTTGGGCAATCTTGGCTTTGCTGTGAACAGTCACTTATGCTACAGCACAGCTGCTCCTGAAGACGAGGGTAAGGGAAACAAGTGGTGTGTGTTTCTAATGGGTATGACTACTTGGTCAGTGAGGGCTTTTGCAACTGATTTTATGTGTTGATGTTGCAATCCTTGCATTGAGAGCACAGGAGGTGGGGTGGTTCGATTAGCCCTGCTCCCAAGGGAGGTGCTGTCTCTGCCGTCAGGGCTCTGATCCTCCGTGTCAGCTCCTTATAACTGGGTGTCCCTCTGCTTCCCCTTGTTCCTGTAACTGCTAGTGCAAGTCATGCGGTGCAGTTGTTATTCAGGAATAACAGTCATACAGTCCTAGCAGATCTTAGATGTTTAAAAGTGTTGAGGAACAAACACAAACTCTTTGGGCAGGTTGTTCTGTCAAAGGCAGAACTCTGGGCTGGAATATTGCATTCCCCAAGCTACCTAGACATGACAACCTGGCATACTATGGACTGATGTCATCATGAGGCCACTCCTGAATATCTTTAAAAGCACAAGACAATTGGAGAAAGTTCCTGAGGACTGGAAGGAAAGCAAATATCATTTCAGGAAGATGTGGTGTCCTACAGGCTCGTCAGCTTCACCTTGATCCCGGGGAAGGTGGTGGAGCAGATAAGCCTGGAAACCATTTCCAGACATACTAAGGACAAGAAGGTGTTTAGCTTTAATCAGCATGGATTTATGAAGGAGAAATGCTTGATCAACTGGATGATCTTCTACAATGAGATTACTTGCTTGGTGGCTGAGGGGGAGGGCAGTGGATGCTGCTTATTGTAGATTTAAGAAGATCTTCGACAATGTCTCCTCATTGGCTAGACAAGTGGATGGTGAGGTGGATTGAACACTAGCTGAGGTGCCAGGCTCAAAGGGTTGTGATCGGTCACTAGTAGATTGAGGGAGGTGGTCCTTTCTCTCTGTTCAGCACTGGTGAGATGCATCTGGAGTGCTGGGTCCAGTGCTGGGCTCCTCAGTATAGGAGAGACATGGACATATTGGAGCAGGTCCAGTGCAGGGCCACAAAGATGGTGAAGGGACTGGAGTATCTTTGATATGGGGAGAGGCTGAGAGAGCCTGGAAACAAAAAGGCTCAGGGGGATCTTATCCATGTGGGTAGATACCTGATGGGGGAAGTAAAGAAGACTGAGCCAGGCTTTTCTCAGTGGTGCCCAGGGACAGGTCTCAAGACAAGGGACACTAACAAAAATAGGAAATTTCCCCAGAGAGTTGTGGTGAACGGAGTTAA